GTAAAGAGTTTTCATGAGGATAGTGAGGCTCAGGTTAGGGTGTGTAGAGGAGAGAGACTACTTTCCAGTAAAAGTAGGTCTTAGACAGGGATGTGTAATGTCACCATGGTTGTTTAATATATTTATAGATGGGGTTGTAAAAGAAGTAAATGCTAAGGTGTTCGGGAGAGGGGTGGGATTAAATTGTGGGGAATTAAATACAAAATGGGAATTGACAGTTACTTTTTGCTGATGATACTGTGCTTATGGGAGATTCTAAAGAAAAATTGCTAAGGTTAGTGGATGAGTTTGGGAGTATGTGTAAAGGTAGAAAGTTGAAAGTGAACATAGAAAAGAGTAAGGTGATGAGGGTATCAAATGATTTAGATAAAGAAAAATTGGATATCAAATTGGGGAGGAGTAGTATGGAAGAAGTGAATGTTTTCAGATACTTGGGAGTTGACGTGTCGGCGGATGGATTTATGAAGGATGAGGTTAATCATAGAATTGATGAGGGGAAAAAAGGCGAGTGGTGCATTGAGGTATATGTGGAGACAAAATACGTTATCTATGGAGGCAAAGAAGGGAATGTATGAAAGTATAGTAGTACCAAGACACTTATATGGGTGTGAAGCTTGGGTTGTGAATGCAGCAGCGAGGAGGCGGTTGGAGGCAGTGGAGATGTCCTGTCCAAGGGCAATGTGTGGTGTAAATATTATACAGAAAATTCGGAGTGTGGAAATTAGGAGAAGGTGTGGAGTTAATAAAAGTATTAGTCAGAGGGCTGAATAGGGGTTGTTGAGGTGCTTTGGTCATTTAGAGAGAATGGATCAAAGTAGAATGACATGGAGAGCGTATAAATCTGTAGGAGAAGGAAGGCGGGGTAGGGGTCGTCCTCGAAAAGGTTGGAGGGAGGGGGTAAAGGAGGTTTTGTGGGCGAGGGGCTTGGACTTCCAGCAAGCGTGCGTGAGCATGTTAGAAAGGAGTGAATGGAGACGAATGGTATTTGGGACCTGACGATCTGTTGGAGTGTGAGCAGGGTAATATTTAGTGAAGGGATTCAGGGAAATCCGTTATTTTTATATAGCCGGACTCTAGTCCTGGAAATGGGAAGTACAATGCCTGCACTCTAAAGGAGGGGTTCAGGATATTAGCAATTTGGAGGGATATGTTTGTGTATCTTTATATTTATATGCTTCTAAGCTGTTGTGTTCTGAGCACCTCTGCAAAAACAGTGATTATGTGTGAGGTGAAAGTGTTGAATGATGAAAGTATTTTCTTATTGGGGATTTTCTTTCTTTTTTGGGTCCCATGCCTCGGTGGGAGACAGCCGACTTGTTAAAAAAAAAAAAACTTCCCTCCTTGCATAACTTCTACTTTGTAAAAACCTCTCATATGCTAACTTTTTCTCCCTTACTACTCTCTTTACATCGTCATTCCACCAATCGCTCCTCTTCCCTCCCACACCCACTTCCCTGTAACCACACACTTCTGCTGAAAACACTAACACTACATTCTTAAACCTACTCCATACATCTTCGATCCCATTGCCTATGCTCTCGCTATCCCATTTATCCTTCAATAGTTGTTTATATCTTACCCTAACTGCCTCCTCTTTTAGTTTATACACCTTCACCTCTCTTACTTGCTGCTTCCATTTTCCTTGTATCCCATCTACCTTTTATCTCACTGTAGCTACAACTAGAAAGTGATCTGATATATCTGTGGCCCCTCATAAACATGCACATCCTGAAGTCTACTCAACAGTCTTTTATTTACCAATACTTAGTCCAACAAACTACTGTCATTACGCCCCACATCATATCTTGTATACTTATTTATCCTCTTTTTCTTAAAATACGTATTACCTATAACTAAACCCCTTTCTATACAAAGTTCAATCAAAGGGCTTCCATTAACATTTACACCTGGCACCCCAAACTTACCTACCACACCCTCTCTAAATGTTTCTCCTACTTTAGCATTTAGGTCCCCTAAATGCCAAAGGTTCAAAGGTTCCTATACATTCGCTTAACATCTCCCAAAATCTCTCTCTCCTCTACACTCTCTTATCCAGGTGCATACACGCTTATTATGACCCACTTTTCACATCTGACCCTTATTTTAATCCACATAATCCTTGAATTTACACTTATATTCCCTCTTCTCCTTCCATAACTGGTCCTTTAACATTATTGCTACCCCTTCCTTAGCTCTAACACTCTCAGATACTCCTGACTTAATCCCATTTATTTTCTCCCCACTGAAACTTGCCTACCCCCTTGAGCTTTGTTTCACTTAGGGCCAGGGCATCCAACTTCTTTTCATTCATAACATCAGCAATCAATATACAACATCAATTTCAATATACAGTACACAATTGTATAAACATTTAAAAATATTCCAGAAATGTTATAAATGGTGCAAAGGCAACATTAAAACAATATCAGAGATGGTTGACACAAACCCAATACAACTATAGTATGCTCCTCACTTAGCAACGAATTCTTTTAACGACGTAGTCTTAGGAACGGAACTCCGTCGTCAATTGAGGAGAAGCTGTATCAGTTGTTCCTGCAGAGATTCTCCTCTGGGCACAATTCACCACCTTGGATCTAGCTCAGGCTGTCCAGTGATGGTGTTGCAGCATCACAAATTGATGGAGAATACAAACTTTACAGCCTTAAACTTCCAAAATCTTCAAGTTCTTCTAAACCCTCATATGTAGCATTATTGAATATCCAGTTAACAAGAAGTTCTAAAGTTCTTAATGAGTTATCTCTTGATATTTTATGTCTGGCAGAAAGTTGGCTGTTGTCTGATATGGCAGTGGTTGCAATTGCTCTCTCTAACTTGGGATATTGGAATTGTAGTCATTTATTCTTCTTTGCTGTCGAGTGTTCATCATATACTAATTGGACATTCTGTTGTCATTTGAGGTAATGGAGCTAGTAGCAAATTGTCATCAGAAGATTGAGAGAATGATGGTCGTTTTGTTTTGGCACCGATGGCACACATTCCTTATTTATTTATTTATTTATTTATTTAAAAATTTGAGCACACATACAGAGGTACAAAAAATACAGATAAGAGCAGCATGCCAAAGCCACTTATACTATGCATAGCATTATGGGCTGGCTTAAAATTAACTTAAGATTAACTAAGCAGTGATGAAATCAGTGATAAAACATTAATGTAAACAGATTACTATAAAGCACAAGTGAGTATTACAAAGACAGGTCATATGGTTGTATGCATTGTTGTACATTCAGTAGAATGGAGTATTCTGTTAGGTAGTGTACGTATTTAAAAAATAATAGTTAGATTGGGTTTTAGGTTTAACATTTATGTGATATAATTGTGAGAAACATTTAAGATATACAATTTATAAGGTTCAGTTATTCAGTATTTATTTGGTTTTGGGTGAGTAAGTGATCTTTGAGAAGAGACTTGAATTTATAAACAGGTAATGAATTCCAGATTTTAGGGCCTTTTATGTGCATTGAGTTTTTGCATAGTGTGAGATGGACACGAGGAACATCAAAGAGTGATCTGTGCCTTGTGTTATGGTCATGTGTTCTGTTGAGGTTGGCAAGGAGATGTTTGAGGGGAGGGTTAATATCAGAGTTAAGTGTTCTATGTATGTAATAGGTGCAGTAATAAGTATGGATGTTTTGTATGGTGAGTAGGTTTAGTGTATTGAATATTGGTGGAGTGTGCTGCCTATAGTGAGAATTTGTTATCATTCTAACTGCAGCCTTTTGTTGGGTAATTAGTGGTCTGAGATGGTTACTTGTTGTTGAGCCCCATGCACAAATTCCATAGGTGAGATAGGGGTAAATAAGAGAGTGATATAGGGCCAGGAGGGCTGACTGTGGAGCATAGTACCGTATCTTCGATAGTATGCCTACAGTCTTGGAAATTTTCTTAGAAATTTGTTGTATATGTGTATGAAATTTGAGTCTATTATCAAGGTGGATTCCTAAGAATTTTCCCTCTGTTAGCTTTGTGATAGGTGATCCGTTTATCATTATGTTAAGAGGGACATCTGTAGCTCTGTTACCAAACTGAATGAAGTAGGTTTTGTCAATGTTTAGTGTAAGTTTTAGTCCTCATCCAGGTAGATATTTTCTGTAATTCGGTATTTACAGTATTGGCTAGTGTGACTGGGCTCGGGTGGGAGAAGACGTATGTAGTGTCATCTGCAAATAGTGTGGGTTTGAGTAATTGCGAAGCATTTGGTAGGTCATTTATGTATAGGAGAAAGAGAAGAGGGCCAAGGACACCTTGTTTCTTGATGAAATTGGTTTTCCTATTGAATACTTTGCAATGAGCATTAGTCATTCTGGTGTGTTAAGTATAGTACGTACTTGGCATTTTTTACAAAAATTACTTTTTGACCACTGGTGGCAGTTTTGAAACAGATTGCTAATTTAATTTTTGGAGAAGACATTCTTTACTTCTGATAAATGTCTGTTAGTGAGGCTGGGGGCACTTATGTAAATGTGTAGACTTTTTCAATTTATCATTTGACTTATCGAACTAATTATTATTTTGAAATTTATATATTTGTAAATGATTTTTCTTTTATAAGGTGCAAAGAACTGCTTAGAAATTAATGTTATTTTGACAGTGGTATTATTTAGGTGCTTAGTGTTGAGTCTGTGTGTATAGCAGTGTTTACGTATTTTAATTTTCTTGAACTGTAAATTGGTGCACAGATTTTGTTTTACGAATAATTTTTCGTATTTTTTTTTAAGTTTTGACGCGTCGAGTCATTATAATGCGACCCAGACTGTTTTTGGATGCCATTTTAATACAATTTACAAAAAATTTGTTTGTGACCTATAGTATGGTATAGAACAGGGATACCTTCTTCGATGATCATAACACGAACGATAACAGTGCCTAGTTTAAGAGTGAGGGCTTCCTTGTTTTTATGAAAGTTAATTTCTTGTACAGCTTTGAGATGTAATATGCTGAAAGTATTTATAAACAAGAAATTTGGCACTGGTTTTCAGGATGGACACAGTTCTTATGAGGATGACAATGTGTTTGTGGTAGACCCTGGGGAAAGAGGGGAGGGGTCAGGGGAAGAGAAGACCCCGTCATCCTCTTCATCATCCTCTCACCATTCGACTACTACAGCCTTCACACGATTTTCTCGTGACACAAATAGATGCTCTGTTCAGGTAAAGTCTTCTCTGATTAGCAAGAATGTTATTAATCAAGTATAATATCTTGAATTTAACATTTTAACTTAAAATTTGGCTATACCTTTCAGTGTGAAAACTAGGCTATTTAGTTGCACCGCCATGTCACCCAGCAAGTTGTATCCCAATTTTAACTGCTAGGTCTGAAAGGAAATTAATTCCTTTGTGACATATATGCCATTCCATTAAATAATTCATGGCAAGAAAAGGGAGTTTCATTGATCCTTATTATCTAATTCTCTTCCAAGATTATCCTTTCATCTGTGTCCAGTGAACTAGTATGCATAATTTTTCATACCTTCAGATATGCAATGCGCCAAATATTTTTGACCTAAGCTCATCTGTTTGGGTCTCCTACTATCTCCTCATGCCTTTGGAAAAAAATGTGACTAGGCAGGTCCACGTAGTGTATCGTGGGGTAACACTGCCTAACTAGCATAAGTAAACAGTAAAACCAGAACCTGTTTTTCCACCACCAGCTTTCCTACCAGCAAACAGTATGTGGAGCTTGCAGGAAGGTGCCTTAATTATTTGCTCCAATTTATGCTAGATACCCTTTGTAAAGCAACATTGGGCTATGCATTTCTCTGTTTGAAGTACTAAAGCATCTTAAAATGCATCTAATATCATAAGAAAGTAATGTACACATTGTTAAGCATTAAAAATAATAGAAACTGAATAACAATCATAATTTGGCATCGGTAAACAAGCATCGCTGGTGCACTTATGCCAATGTTGCCAACGAATGATAATTTTTTTGAGACCTTCAACACTAAAATCATTAGTTTTTATCAGATTCCACTCATTTTTAATCTTATTTGATTCTTAAAAATGTATTTTCACTCTTAAGAAAAATATCTTTATTTCTCAAAATCTTGTCATACATAGGAATTTTAATTTCTGGATGTGCCACAGTTAGGGGGTTAAGAAGCTGACCCTGTCTCAATATGTATCCTGTCCACCTAAGACAAGCATGTTAGTCTTATCTGACGTCTATATACAGGTGTGTCTACATTCGCGAGGGTTAGGGGATCAAGAACCTCGCGAATGTTAACAAATCGTGAATGTTTGGTGCACAGTTATATTGTAGGGAAATATAATAATAGCATTTACTTACCCAAACAGTACTGCTTCTTCAACCTATTGAACCATGAACAATTATAAAACACATGAAAACATCGTAAAATATTGTACTAGTGCCAGCCCTTTGGTAAAGGAGAGAAAGACTATAGAATTCAAGAAAGAACTTGTAGCAGAGTACCAAAGTGGAGGAGGAAGAGAATGGGGAGAATGTGCCTTCTTCAGTGATTCTGTGATATGTATGATACTAAAGCAGCAGGAGTCAATAAAGGCTATAGTGCCAGCTAGAAATAAAGTGTAGCATTAACAGTGTAGCAAGTAAGTTAAGCAATTAATCAATAGAAAAAGGACAGCACGAATCTAACTCCTCCAATGTTGTTGGAGTTATATAGGGCGACTGACAACACTGTCCTCTCTAGTCTCTACCACCTTAGCTGCCACCTCTACCACTATGTAAGGCTTATCTTTCAGTGGCCCTTACACACCCAACAACACAACACTCATGACATAATAACATATTTTATTCATTCTAGAGTATGTCGTGTTTCTGTGTTATTAATATTCTTTAGTATGTTATATTAGATGAATTGTGATAGATAAATAAGCCATAGAGATGATATTTAGTGTCATATTGAAGGACTGTCTTTTCCTATCTTCAAACAAACTCTGCCACTGCCACAATTCCTATCATATGTAATGACACGTGTATTTTAAATATGATTGGGCTGCTAGGAATTCGTGAATGTTCAAGGCCCGTGAAAGTGGAAACGTGAATGTTGAGGGAGACCTGTATACTATCAATCATTACTTTAAAACTGGTTTAGTGGTTAGTGTTTATTATATTAATAATTACTTTAAAAAGAAGTGCGTAAAACTTAATAACGGTTATGTTTGATAACGAGAGAGAGAGTATGATGTGTATTCTGATTACTTTTTGCTTACTGTTGAGCTTTATCCAGCCAAAATAGACCTGCACTGCATACTTGTTAACACCATGTGCGGGTCAGACTAGGAGTATTCTTCTGATATGACAGTGACTGGGAAAGACAGAAATGACACTTTATTATCAATGTATCAGGAAACCATAATTGAGATGTAGTGGCAAAGTTTCTTTTTCAGTGGTCTTTAACCCTGTCACTGTCCAGACTCTCAAAATTAATATTGCTTCAGTGTACAATTATTTTTTTCTTTGTTTTCTGAAGGTAGTGCTATCAAAAGTACGAAACTTGGTGGAAAATTTACAGAAATAAACAGGCACAGATTTACACATTGAATCCATTGCTCCAATTGCCACCCCCCCCCCCCCTTTTTTTTTTCCCCCAAGGAATTTTGATAGTATGCTTTCCGTTCTGTCGATTGAGCACAAGGAACCATGTATTCCACTTAAAACTACCCTGTAAAGTGGACAGAAGTCAGTAATTTAGCCAATTTTACCCAAAATTAAAAATATGCCAGTTTAAAAATACAGTGGAACCTCAGCACTTGAATTTAATTGGTTCCAGAAAGGCTGTTCTAGTGCTGATCTGTTCAAGTACAGAACGAATTTCTCCCAACCAATTTTCTTTTTGGTTGGCTGTTATCACTAACACTCTTAGGCCTCATTGCGACTTATTTATACAAATGCAGGTTGAAATTAAGACACATGTGCAACATCTGGGTATCTTTATTGTAGACGTTTCGCCATCCAGTGGCTTTATCAATACAAATTCCAGGACATAATTTGAAGACAGTAGAACTATATACAGAAGATGAGATAATCAGTCCCTCAGCCTTGGAGTTGGTGCAAAGAGCACCATAGTCGTGGATGTTCTGGAGCAGAGGCAAGGAGCCTGGCGCTTATACACTAACGTCAGGTGGAAAGGGGACGTGTAGCAGATGAGGGCATAGTCACTGGTAGGCGGGATTCCCCCAGTGGAAGTAGGTCCTGCCCAAAGAGATGGGTTAGTTGTCATAGTAGTTGCCGTAGCCATGAAAGTTATGTACGTGTCCTCAGAATCAAGATTCCATGATGTTGCAGTTGCAGTGTCTTGTACAACTTGTCAGACACTGCAACATCATGGAATCTTGATTCTGAGGACATGTACATAACCTTCTTTATGGCTATGACAACTACTATTACAACTAACCCATCTCTTTGGGTAGGACCTACTTCCACTGGGGAATCCCACCTACCAGTGACTATGCCCTCGTCTGCTACACGTCCCCTTTCCACCTGACGTTAGTATACAAGTGCCAGGCTCCTTGCCCCTGCTCCAGAACATCCACGACTACGGTGCTCTTTGCACCAACTCCAAGGCTGGGGGACTTGTATATAGTTCTACTGTCTTCAAATTATGTCCTGGAATTTGTATTGATAAAGCCACTGGATGGCAAAACGTCTACAATAAAGATACCTAGATGTTGCACGTGTCTTAATTTCATCTTGCCAGTATTGTATACCATTCTTGTACAAATGCAGGTTGGCCATCGCAAATCTGGCAATCAGTCATCTGAATCCATCAGTTATTTGGCACTAATTTCGTCTAGCATAATTTCAAATTTCCAGAGTTGCCACACCGACCTGCTGATACTGTTTGGTTGTACTGCTTGCTGCATAAGTCATTCTAATTTCTTTTTCTTCATTTGTTGTTATAACCTGCTTACTTTTAGCCCTAGACATGGTTCCAACGAATAAAAGAAATGCTTCTTGTTGTGTAAAGCACATACACGGTACTTTGTCCATAAAAGATAAGGTGGCTTTGAAGTCACTGTCAGTTGCCATGAGCTCAGTCTCGTGATGCAGGGGAATATACTTATTACACTAATATCAACTAAACAATATAAATGGCATAAAAACATGGTAAATACTCCAGAATGAATTATTGGCATAATATCGTGGGGTTCGACGGAAGTATAAAAAGGATGTGGGATACAAGTACCATCCTCCTATCCTTGTCTTGGAAGCTTATATTAGAGAAAACAGAGTGTAGCACAGGGCTAACTCTGATATACACTCGTAATACACCATAAAACTGAAACAAAAATGTTTTTTCGCTACATAGATTATCATACATAGCAGCATATGCATAGAGAGCCTAGGATGACCCAAAAAAGTCAGTGACTTGTTTCCAGTACCTGGCTTGGGCTTGCTATATATTGATTTTTGGTAAATGTGTTTTTTTTCTCGGTTGTTTGTTGGGCTGTTGTATTGAAACTTGGGCAGTGTTTGATGGAAAGATGCTTCTTAACGTACACCAAAAATAAAAATCAGACTATAAATAACTGAGTTCACTTCTTGGCCATTAGCTGTCCTTTAGTGGTATATTTTTGTATGGTTTTTATGGTTGTATTCTCATCATTTTGGTCTCGTTTAATAGAATGGAAGATATATTACAGAAATAGATATGAACCCCTTCATAAATGTTACTTGGAGTGTGAGCAAAGTAACATTTATGAAGGGGTTCAGGGAAACCGGCAGGCCGGACTTGAGTCCTGGAGATGGGAAGTACAGTGCCTGCACTCTGAAGGAGGGGTGTTAATGTTGCAGTTTAAAAACTGTAGTGTAAAGCACCCTTCTGGCAAGACAGTGATGGAGTGAATGATGGTGAAAGTTTTTCTTTTTCGGGCCACCCTGCCTTGGTGGGAATCGGCCAGTGTGATAATAAAAAAATATAATAGATATGATTTTGATTGATTTCACGAAAAGTACCTTGAAATCGAGCTCAAAGTAGCAGAAATGTTTGATGTTTGCCAATGTTCAATGAACTTTTATGTGTAAGTTAAGTTGGTTAACTTTATAAGTGTATTCTAACCTAACCACTCTGTAATCTGGCACACTACAGGTCCCAGTGATGCCGAATTTGTGACAACTGACCTGTAATATAAAAAACATCAAAAAATGTGAAGAAATACGAAATAGT